CGATCAACAACTCCGCGGCATATGTAATGGATATTAAGCAACAGCTCGTCCCGATCGGTGTCATGGGTGAGCTGGTTGTGGCTGGCGATGGCCTGGCTCGAGGCTACACAGACCCAGCTCTGGACGTCGACCGATTTGTGGAGGTCAATGTTGATGGTAAAATCGTCCGAGCCTATCGCACGGGTGATAGAGTCCGTTACAGACCACAGGACCGCCAGATCGAGTTCTTCGGCCGTATCGATCAACAGATTAAGATCCGTGGCTACCGTGTTGAGCTGGCTGAGGTCGAGCACGCTATGCTCAATCATTGTCCTGTCAAAGATGCGATCGTCGTTCTCCGCCAGCAGGACAATGCCGAGAAGGAAATGATCGCTTTCGCCGTGGCCTGGGACACCACCTCGACCAAGACTTCACATACAGAAGACAAGGCAAACGGCCACATCGAAAACGATCTGGACCAATCAAGCCGAGAGTTGGAGAGGCAAGTGCACAGACAATTACAGACAGCGCTACCAGCGTACATGGTTCCGTCGCGCGTTGTTATACTAAAGGAAATGCCTCTCAACGCAAACGGCAAAGTCGATCGAAAGGTGCTCAGCCAGATGGCTGAGACTGCACCAAAGGCTGCACCGATTGTCAAGCACGTGGCCCCTCGAGACGAGATGGAACAAGCGCTCTGTGACGAATATTCGGCTGTCCTGGGAGTCGATATCAGCATCTATGACAACTTCTTCGAGATTGGTGGTCACTCCCTCCTAGCTATGAAACTAGCAGCCCGCCTCAGCTCCCGGCTCCATGCAATCATCTCCATCAAGGATATATTTGATCACCCCGAGCTTGCGGATCTTGCAGCGACCATTCGACGAGGGTCAGCTGCGCATATGCCTATCGAGCATAAGGAGTACACCAGCCCTGTAGAGCAATCTTTCGCACAAGGTCGCTTATGGTTTATTGACCAGCTCAACCTGGGGGCACTGTGGTATCTTGTTCCAATTGCGACCCGTCTGCGAGGACCACTCAATATCGACGCGCTCGCTGCCGCCCTCCATGCCCTCGAGCAACGACACGAGATATTGCGGACTACCTTCGAGGAGCATAACGGCATCGGCGTGCAAATTGTTCAAGAGTGTCGCTCCGAGAGTCTCCGAACAATTGATGCTTCAGATGAAGTCGAGGTGCTTGAGATGGTGAAGTTTGAGCAGACACGACCGTTCGATCTTACATCAGAACCGGGATGGAGAGTCTGCCTGATACGTATCAACGACGATGACCACGTCTTATCTATTGTTATGCATCACATTGCCTCTGACGGCTGGTCAGTGGATGTGCTGCGAGGAGAGCTAGACCAGTTTTACGCCTTGGCAGTACGGGGTGAAGAGCCACTGTCGCAAGTTGCAACGCTTCCAATTCAATACCGCGACTTTGCAGTATGGCAACGACAGGCAGAGCAGGTTGCTGAGCAAAAACGACAGCTTGACTACTGGACAAAGAAGCTCGCCGACAGTGCACCAGCAGAGCTCATATGCGATCGACCGAGGCCTGAAGTGCTGTCAGGTGAAGCTGGCTACATCCCTATCAATATCGATGGTTCACTGTACGAAGACCTGCAGGCATTTTGTCGTGCTCAACAAGTCACACCATTCGTCGTCCTGCTCTCTGCCTTCCGCGCAGCTCACTATAGGCTTACTGGAGTCGATGATGCGACAATT